CTAGGGGTTAGAGGTGGGGGGCTGGGAGCCAGACACCTAGGTCTGTCTAACCATCACCCTCTACTTTCACTCCCAGGAGCTGGTGCTCTCCAACCCCACCCCTTTCCCCCCACTGCACCCACCCACACACTGACCAGGGAAGAGAACCACATTCTGATTGGCTGAAGGGAGATGGAGATGATGGAAGCAGCCAATGGGAAGAGAAAGCCCCCAGGAGCAGCCAATGAGGTGCAAGCAGCTGGTGGAGGTGCTCAGACCCCAGGAGAAGGCCCCGGGGCCCTAGAGGAGCAGAAGGACAACCAGGGAGCAACCAATAGGAATAGAGATGCCCTGGGAGTAGCCAATGAGAGCACAGTGGCCCCAGAACCAACCAGTGAGGACAGAGCCAACCCCAAACCAAGCAACCAGACCCCAATGACTTGGACCAGCCCAGATGGGGCCTTCACCAAGCTGGTGTTGGAGGCTGGGCACGGCCTGGCACGGCCCACCCTGGGCTGCCGCTGCCAGGTGCTGCTGCAGGCACCACCAGGGACCTCCCTAAGCTACCCCACGGGGCACTGGGCTGAGATCCAGCTGGGCCATGGCCCCACAGCCTGGGATGACTTGGTGGATGCCTGCCTGGAGAGCATGGCAGCGGGGGAGCGGGTGCAGCTGCAGGCACAGGCCGGGGGCACTGTGGATGTCTCCCTGAGCTCCTTCCTGCCTGCACCTGAGCTCTGGGAGCTGCCACCTGGCACGCAGTGGGCCCTGGCCCTGGGCCATAAGGCCCTGGGCACCGAGCGGTACCGCCAGGGCGATGTGGGCACCGCTGCCCGCTGCTACACACGGGCCCTGCACCTGGCGGTAGCTGCAGGGCCCCAGGTCTGGAGCCCAGGCACCAAGGCTGAGCTCCATGCCAACCTGGCAGCCTGCCAGCTGCGCCTGGGGCAGCCAGCCCATGCCGCCCACAACAGTGCCAAGGCGCTGGCGCTCAGCCCCAGCCATGCCAAGGCACGGTACCGGCAGGCTCTGGCCGCCGCCGCCCTCGGCGACCTAGAGGCCGCAGCCGAGGACCTACGGGCCCTGCTGGAGGCTGACCCAGGCAACACAGCCGCCCGCCGAGAGCTAGGCAGGGTGGTGCGGCGGACGCGGGAGCAGGATGCTCACCTGGCCAAAGCCATGAGCAAGCTATTCCGGTGATTCCTGGCGGGGCCCCGATCCTGGCCTGATTCAGAGACACTGCCTGAGGATGGAGGCAGGGTGTGTTGCCTCCTAGGGGCCCTGATCCTGGCCTGACTCACGGGCACTGGGTAGTGGTGGAGGTGGGGCCTGTGCCATGCCAGAGGGCCACAATCCTGGCCTGATTCAGGGACACTTGCTGGAGATAGAGGGAGGGGATCTGTGTTCTCCAGAGCATAGTTTCTCAACCTGTGGTTTGCATACCCCTGGGGCACAGGCAGGGGGTACGCGGGTACCCCAACACTCTCTCTCTCTTGCCCTCTTTTCCTCTCTCGCCCTGTTTTCCTCTCAAAACTACAGCAAAAAATTTGGTGGGCCATGCATTAAAATTCCCTGGTAATAATTTGGTGTGTCGCGCTTTGCGTGGCAGTGGGTTCAGCCCTCCTAGCTTTGGGTAACATCACCTCTAGCCCAGGTACACACTTGAGTTGTGCATCCCTGGTGTAAAAGGTGGCCACCGTATCCACACCAGATCAGACATCTGTCATATCACAGCCTTATAGAGACAGCATATAGCACACATTAGTCTAAAATATAAAATCCCCTGGAAAATTGAGTGTTGGGGTACTGATTAAATTTTTCAGAAGTAGGGGTACTTGAACTTGAAAGGTTGAGAAATACTGCTCCAGAAGGCCCCAGTCCTGGGCGAATCTGGGGGAGGAGATGCAGAGGGCCTGCCTGAAAATAAAGGACACTAATTAAATGGAAAATAATTGAGTTCAGTTGTTTTTTCAGGCTAGGGGGATGGGAGCAGGAGCAGGAGCAGCAGAGGATAGGCATTGGCTAGCAGGGGCCCGGGGATGTGACAGGGAGGTCCCCAGAAGAAGGGTCTGCAGCAAAGTGAAAGGTCAGGGAGCCTGGGTCAAAGGTCACTGAAAAAGGCAATGGGTTTCTGGGTCCAGTGAGGTGATTCACAGGTCAGAGGTCACCACAAGGGAGTTCAGGGGTCATGGGCACTTGTGGAAAAGGGGGACTCCCCTTGAATCCAAAGGTCGGGGTCAGAGGTCACTGGGGGTCAGCCCACTCCTCTCAGTCGAGACAGATCCCATCAACTCGTGTTGGCCAAACCCATGGCAGCCAATGCCCCTCGCTCCCAACCCGCAGCCCCGCCAGGCCCTCACTCCCAACCTGCACCCCACCCCCAGCCCTACTGGTGCTGCTCACTTCCAACCCACAGCCCCCCCGTGGTGGGGACCATGAAGCTGCCACAAAATATCCAAGTGTTTTTATTAATATAGAGAAGATTTTTTTCAATTCCACCAGTCACAGAAAGACCAACACGGCCAAGGGTGGGGTGGGGGGGAAGGGGAAGGGAAAGGGGGCACTCCTGGGAGAGCAGAATTGGGGGGCTAGGATACAATGGACCAGACAACATTGACCACCCTCCAGCCCTGCCAATGCCCCTCACTCCCAACCCGCACCCCCCCCCCCACCCCCCCCCAGCCCAGCTGGTGCCCTTCACTCCCAGCCTGTAGCTCCCCCTAACCCTTATGGTGCCCCTCACTCCTGACCCACAGCCCAGCTGGGGTGAGGAGGGGGCAGTAGACAGGCAAGGTGGGTGGGGTGGGGCTAATAGGGGGAGGGGCTTGCAGGTAAGGGGTGTGGCTGGTTGATGGACATGGCATGGGGGTTCTGAGGGGCAGGGCTTACATCAAAGGAGTGGGGTTTGGCACTGGAGATCACACAGGCCAGGCGGCGCCAGAGATGGTGCTGGGCCTTCTAGCAAGAGGGTGGAGCCCCACTCCAAAAGTGGAGAGGGGTCAAGGCCCAGGGCATCGGGACAGGGTAAAGGAGGTGGGGCTTAAGGTCCAGGTGGGTGTAGCTTCCGCACAGAGAGGCGGAGCCCATGCTGGGGCAAAGGGTCATGGGTCGCCGCCCCAGAGAGCCCTAGAGAGGGGCGGGGCCTAGCCTGGCATTGCCGGAGAGGGGTGTGTGGCCTGAGGCAGAGGGCGGAGCTCGGAGCAGGCCGGCACAAGGCATCATAGGCCGCCTCCTGCCGAGGGAGGAGGGTCGAGCAGCCACAGGGGAGGCGCAAAGGATTGTGGGTAGCGGGAGTGGCCTAGGCCGGCAGGGCGTGGCACTGCAGGGATGGGGGCAGGGCCTGGGGCCCAGGGGTGGGGCTAGGGGTCCCAGTCGTGGTCGTGGTGCTGGGCAGCGATGATGATGACGACAGTGAGGATGGTGCAGAGCACCATGGCGGCAATGCCCACGGCCAGGCTGATGAAGGAGAAGTTCCGCGCCTCCCGCGATGCAATCTCGGCTGACACGATGCCCCCCAAGTGCCAGCTCCACCCCCCTATTCTCAGGCTCTGCCCCAAGTGCCAGCCTGATCTGCCCCACCCTCCTCTCTGCCCCAAGCAGCAGCCCAGCCTCCATTAGGCTCTGCCCCAGGAACCAGCCCCGCCCCCATACTTAGGCTCCACCCCAATCTCCAGCCCTGCCCCATCCTCTGGCCCCACCTCCAAGCCTTGTAGGCCCCCCTACCATTTCAGCCCCACCATCATCCTCAAACTCCACCCCCTGGCCTGACCCCCAGTGCCCAAACCTTCCCCGAAG